CCTTCCAATATATCAACCTTTACGTCTCGACCATTTCGAGACTCCTCATCATGTCTGTGATATCATCTGGGACTCTGAACAAACTTCGGTCATCAAAAACACATAACTCTTAATACAAATCGTCATCGAACGTTAAGCGTGCGGGGCCTATGGGTTCGAGAACTATGTAGACATGATCGAGACACATCTATGATCAATAACCAATAGCGGAACCTGGATGCTCATATTGGCTCCTACATATTCTACATAGATCTTTATCGGTCAAACCGCACAACAATATATGTTATTCCCTTTGTCATCGGTATGTTACTTTCCCGAGATTCGATCGTCGGTATCATCATACCTAGTTCAATCTCGTCACTGGCAAGTCTCTTTACTCATTTCGTAATGCTTCATCCTGCAACTAACTCAGTAGTCACATTGCTTGCAAGGCTTATAGTGATGAGAATTACCGAGAGGGCCCAGAGATACCTCTCCGATACACGGAGTGACAAATCCTAATCTTGATCTATGCCAACACAACAAACACCTTCAGAGACACATGTAGAGCATCTTTATAATCACCCAGTTATGTTGTGATGTTTGATAGCACACAAGATGTTCCTCCGATATGCGGGAGTTGCATAATCTCATAGTCAGAGGAACATGTATAAGTCATGAAGAAAGCAATAGCAATAAAACTGTAACAATCATAATGCTAAGCTAACTGATGGGTCTTGTCCATCACATCATTCTCCTAATGATGTGATCCCGTTCATCAAATGACAACACATGTCTATGGTTAGGAAACATAACCATCTTTGATTAACGAGCTAGTCAAGTAGAGGCATACAAGGGACACTATGTATTGTCTATGTATTCACACATGTACTATGTCTCTGGCTAATACAATTCTAGCATGAATAATAAACATTTATCATGATATAAGGAAATATAAATAACAACTTTTTATTGCCTCTAGGGCATATTTCCTTCACATACTCAGTTCTATCTGTGGCTCAAGCTTTTGTGGACAACATCATTAAGTTGCATGCCCCCTCCCCCTCAAGCTGATAATCTCTGATAGAGATAAGATTTTCACTAGCAAATTGTGGAAGGATGTATTTGCTGCTTTAAAAGTGGAGCTGAGGTACAGTACATCATACCACCCTCAAACTAATGGTCAGACAGAGAGGGTTAATCAGTGTCTAGAAACATATCTAAGATGCATGACTACTGATCAACCCCCGAAGTGGTTGTCCTGGTTGTCATTAGCTGAATACTGGTACAATTCTACCTATCACACAACTCTGAAAATGTCTCCATTTCAGGCATTGTATGGATTTCCCCCACCTTTAATTTCAGAACTGGCAATACCTGGCCCTGATGATGTGGAAGCACAAGATTTTCTGTGCTCCAAGCAACAGATGTTGGAGCACTTGAAGGATAATTTGTGCAAAGCCCAAAACAGAATGAAGAGGTATGCAGACCTAAAAAGAGTGGAGAGGACTTTTTTGGTTGGAGATATGGTCTACTTGAAAATGGCCCCATATCGCTTGGCTGCTTTTGGCTTCAAAGGTGCCCTTAAGCTTCAGAACAAATATTATGGTCCATTCCTCATCATCCAAAAGGTGGGAAACTCAGCATACAAACTCCAATTTCCTCAGGATGTACAGATTCATCCAGTCTTTCATGTCAGTCAACTTAAAAAGCACATTGGCAGCAAGGCAATTCCTAGCCCAATGCTTCCAATGGTTAACAGTGACGGCACACTAAAAATGGGTCCAGCTGCAGCTCTCCAAGTCAGGCAGATACCTCGCAACAACTTACTAGTGGTACAGTGGTTGATTCAGTGGCAAAACATGGCGGAGGAAGAAGCGACATGGGAAGACGCAGACTTTATCAAGTACTCTTTCCCAGAATTCTTCAAAACAACCACTCAAGCATGGCGCGCGGCATCAACTACGACGTGAGGACTCGTCATAACTCAAGAAGGGGGCAATGTCAGGCATCGACATGTTTTAGTTAACTACAGATGTTCAGAAAACGCTTCGCCGCAATCAACGATCAGGATCGCTCCTCGCTAATGCTTCGTCGCAAGCCGTAGATCTTTTTGTACCGTTAGCCATTGTTACTGTTTACTTTCACGGTCTTGTCGTGCCGGGTGAAAAGCTATCCCTATAACTACAACTGGGGTGTGGTTGTCATCGTCATTCATTCCATTCTCTAGAAGATTGCCTCGATGGCTTATCTCATACTCATATAGCTATACTTATCAATACAAAAGGGGATCTGAGAGAGACATATATGATTTTCGTTCACAAATACTTAATTCTTCCCATAGATCCTAGTTAGGTCCTGACACGGGGTCGGTGAGGCGGCTGCGCCAGGGCTTGCAGACGAGGGAGGCGCGGAAGAGGCACCCGGGGTCGTCCGGCGGGAGTCGGAGGAGGTTCTCCTCGAGGAGCTCGTCCGGCAGCGTTGCCGGCGGCGGTGGCATGGCAGGCGGAGGCGAGGGTTGTGGCCGGAAAGGAAGGAGCACCTGCTCAGGTCCGCATTGTGGTGGGGTTTTATGTCAACTAGGACCGAGGAGACAGCGAGAGTGAGACTGCTCAATTTTTTCTCTGTATGTGTCGCTCCCGGATGCAGAGTTTCTGCAGCCGAGCTCAAATGAGCTCGGGTGAACAGTAAATCAAAACAAAATCGAAAAAAAATCAAACATTGATAAAAGTTTTAAGTGCTTGCAAAAATTCATCATGCTATTATTACATTCCTAAAAGGTGTGGCAAAAAAAACAAAATCGGTACTCTAGAAATGCTACTTTGAAAAGCATTTTGCAGCACTAAATTTGTTTTTTATGCCACACCTTACAGGAATGTGATTCCATGACAAAATTTTGCAAGCACTTAGAACTTTTGTCAATGCTTCTTCCAAAAATATTTAGAATTTTATGAAGTTTTTTTATTTATTTTTTATTTTACTGTTCATCGAGCTCATTTGAGCTCGGAAGCAGAAAGGCACTTTCGCTCGCAGTCCCACTTCTTCTCCACCCGTTAAAAAAACACGGGACCATGCAGGACTAGCCCTTGAAAGCATATTTTTATAAAAGAAACTCTAAGCGCCACGGGGAGTGACTTGAACCCGGGGTGGGCTAAATAGCTTTGTGCTATCCTAACCAACAGGGTGACACCCTCTTCTCTTCTTCACCTGTTCAAAATGAACAAAGGCCACAATTTATCCTCTTTCATGAATCTCTTCTTTTTCTATGTACGTCTCACTTCTTCATATTTCTGTCCTATTTTTATAGAATATTGAGTGTGTCCAATTGATGGTCCAGGTCAGAAGTGAACAACAGCTTCACGCACGAACGACCGCCCCCCACCCATCCAATAGAGCCAACCGCCACCGCCATCTCCCACTCTGACAACCCTCCTGCTCGACATGGGTGATCTACCCTCCGCCCACCCACCCTAAGCTCGAGCGCGCCCGCGAGGTGGTACCTAGCCACCTAGGCATGGGATATATCGACACCCCCCCTCTCCCCGCCCCCGCTTTCCCGACATGTATGCACGGCCTCCTCCTCTTGTACCAG